CCCCAACCAGAAAGGAAACAAATGTTAAAGCAATTTATGAATGTTAAGCAATGTATGGTGGTTTGGTACCCTTTTCGTTACCCCTTATTCTGTCTTGGGCAAAGTTACAGTAATTCCAAAAGACTTTTGTACATAGAAAAAAATTTAAATTAGTCTATTGAAAGTATATACACAACTTATTAACATTTTCAAAGAACATATTTCAAATACATTGAAAGGTTATGTTCATATGTCCAAATAAAAAATAAATAATGAATATTGTACATAATAAATAATTTAAATGATTATGTATTATTCTATACTTTATATAATTAATACAATTAATTAAATAAAATTTTTTAAACCCAACAGACTTTCAAGTGGAACAGCTATACCGTCTTATATATTAAGATTGTTTGAACTTATTCATAAATGTTTAAAATAAATTGAACATTGACTTTTGCGATTCCTGCTGCATTTTCATTTGCTCGACCATTTGATTCTGCATGTTTTGCTGTACATCCAATCTTTGTTTTTCCAAAATAATTTCTTGCTCACGAATTTTCAGTTGTTTCTCGGTATTTTCTTTGTTGGTATCTTGTTTATATTTAAGGTATTCAAGAAACTCTGTGCTTTTCCTCTTTCTGCCAGGACCAGAAGTATCTTCTTGCTCTTGCCTTCTCTTTGTTTCGCCCAGTTTTTCGCATGCTTTTTTCCGCATTTCCTCGGCTGTTGCGTTTTCCTTTTCTACTTTATCTTTTTTTTTAATTGACTTTCTTGCAGGAAACCATTTTCATATTCAACCATACGGCTGTGTATATGCGTCAACAATTGTGTTTTTTCGTCAAACTCAGTATCAATGCCGGTTGCTATTGCTTCTTGTGTTTCTTGTTTTTTGAACGCTTTGACAAGTTCAAAAAACCTGGTTCGCACTGAACGTTGGTTAAGGCTTGCAGGGAAACCGGAGTTTGGTATCTCTGTCAAATTTACTGCTATATTCCTGAAAGCATCTCCTCGCTCCCGAGAGCCATGTTTCCATCTATAAGGCTCGATGGAAATTACTTCGGTCAAAAGCCACACATCATGTGTAGTTTTCCACCGAAATTTTGTTTGTTTTTTTGGCTGGTCTATACGAAGAAATAATAGTTGAATGTAAGCCATATTGAACCATTCGGTAATTAAATAAGCTTTTCGAAATACATATGTACCTACAGACTATTTTGATCCTTTTCTTCTTCAAGCTCCAAATAAGCCAAGTCTATATTATTCATATCACGTATATTTGTTTCGACCAACTTAAAAAAAAATCCTAAATAATAATAAATACAACAAATAAACAAAACAGAAAGCAGAAAGATATTATAGAAACACAACATTCTTGTGTATATTTATTAAAAAAACAACTTGCCTTTTGAACGGTTCTCCCGACGACCATAAATCGCTTTGTTACGGTCTCAAAACAAAAACATGCGACGATTTCCTCACGCTCTTGCAGTTATTGCTCATGCGTAACACATTTAAGGTAGCGGTAGTGGTAGTGGAAGTCAAATCTGAACCTCACTGATCTCAAAAATCAGGGTGGTCATCCTCATTGATCACAAAAATATGGCGGACTGTCATGAATAGCGAACACTGTGATTGGTCCAATTTAAAGTTTGCATTATAACGACTGCATGACGACAGCGAAATAGCAAACATTTCTTGATTTGATGATTGATAAATTTCTTGCAAATATATTTCATTGTTGCTCGCATTTTTTTAAGATTTTGTAAATTTCAAGAAAGAAAGTGGGAAAGAATCGGCTAAAAGAAGGGAGCCGACGTTAACGAACGTAAGTTTGTTTTAAATATTGATTTTATAATTGCTTTAAAACCCGACGGCCTTTGCGTATATGAAACAACTAAACAAGACAGCATATAATTTCATTGTATCTTTAATAATATTGATCCCTTTTTTATTATATTGAATTTTTTAAATAAATAAAAAAGAAAGCAAAGTTATTTGCATGCGAGAATTTGAAATCATTTTATTGCAAACTCAAAGTTTATCGATAAAGCCATTTAATTAAAGGCAGTTTTATAGTTTTATTAAGAACACTTTAAAACGTTTTGCGAAGCGTTTGTGGTTGAATTTTACCTTAAATTGAAGCTTATATTACGTATAATATCATACCTAACATCTATATGTTGGGGAATTGATAATTTTGTAATTAAAAGTGATATTTTTAGGCGATTTTTCATTGGGGGTACGAATATTCTTAAAAAATTATCGTGTTACCATAACAACTACTTTAGATACTTCATGTTCGGAAAATATAATGGTTTTGTCAGCAAGGTGAGGGTTTCTGCATGCATGTATTTTCTAGTATTTATCATGAATACCAACAGTAAAGGTCAAGTACGATGTATAAAGACACTGAGGCCGATGGAATTAAGGTGGCTCCCTACAGTTATTCTTGTTTACCCAATAATTCCGTAAAACAGGCTTATTTGTGCAGAACGCGAATTCGTTTCGACTTGGTGACAATATTGGTCACCTAAGGAATATTTCGAACTAGATTTCGACAACGTCA